CATTCCCACTAGTTTATTATTTTATTTAAGTTATTTATTCGCTGCTTAGTTTATCTTGATTATGGTTTTAGAACTGTAATTAAGTTTAAGAAAAGTAGGGTGTTACAAACACCCCCGATTTTACCAAAATTTAAAAACTTAATTAAAGGGAAAAACAGTCTAAACATTAATCATTAAATAAGCGAAAGCTAATCCCTTAAACCGGGCAAGTGCTATGCCACACCCATATATCTACAGGTGCACATGCTAAGTCTAACTGAAACATCCATACAACGTCAAAAGTCTAGGGCACACATGCCAATAGTCTAATCAAAAGGAAGGCATAAGAACTACGCTATCTAGATCCACTAGCGCGCTCTCCAAGCTACTCATAACCTCAAAAACATAGGGATAACACCCGTTAGCGAGAGATGCTGGTAACCCACCAATACGCGTTAAGTAACATAATATATAGATATAGGCAAAACCATTTGAGACAAAGGGATACAGTATATATCATTTCAAAGCCAAGAGAGGGAACATCAAGGGACACAACATCACGCTCTCAACAAAAGACCGATCATCAACCACAATACACAAGTCAACAAGGACCACAAACAATATTCTCAACAATAGACACAACCTACCTTCTTAATGGTAGAGTTCTCGATAGACATGCTCATAAGCAATAAACACAACAAATCACATAATGACAAGTTTCACGTTCTAACCTTATATCTTAGTACCACCCTTATGGCTACCCCCGGCCTTATCTCAGTTCCAACCTGTACCTCCGAGTGCCACCCTGTACTTCTGAGTCCAACCTTATCCCTCCTAGGACCGTCGCCCCCCGCCAAACTGCCGCCAAACAATACCGCCGAACTCTAAGTACATGAGGGTATCATTAAATGTGAAGTCACATACCGCCGAACTCATGAGCAAAGCTCAAGTCACATCACCACCAATTTCATTCATAGTCACACATAGTCATCATCAAGATGATTGAGGCTCATCAACAGCCCAATCAAGCATCAACAACGGGTATAACAAATGTACAAGATCACATCATAGAAATCAATCAAGAGGTTTCAATGATAGACATGAAACAATACTCAACAACAACAATGGACTTCAATCCAATATCAACACGATTGGCAACACAAGTTGCCAATCCACAAGGAATGGACAAACAACACATACTAGCATCAAAGACAACATAACTAGCATGCTTATCAAACGGGTAAACCAAAATGGTTCCAACGAACCTCAAAGACTCACATAAATCCAACGAATCACAAAGTTGGACCATAAGCACGATTCAAGACACCAAATTCTAACATGGATACTTAGGACATCGTTCTAGACATACGAAACATCAAGGAGACACCCAAAAGCTCAATAATCCAACAAAAGGAGGTCAAAACATCACACACCAAAAGATGGAACCACGGGAAAAACAACACCCGACAATCCACCATGTTGTACCCCGTGGGTGGTCACCTGCCCGCGGTACCCCCCGCCGGGTACAACTCTTCAACACGCGAGTGGGGCGGCGGGTGGACATACGCCTGCCGTTCCGCCCGCAGGGAACACTGTAACACCCCAGATTTTCAGGACATTTAAAACTTATAAAATAAAGGTGAAATCTCATTAATTCAAAACGTAACATAAAGAGTACGGGGTGCTATGCCACACCTGAGCTAGAGAACTCAGGTGCACAGACTAACTAACTAATATCCTTAACAAAGTAAATGCATAACATGGCACACAGGCCGAAAGGGAACTATCTACTTCTACGTTCCAAGATCTAGCGCGCTCCAGTGACTTATTCTTCTGTGTCTGAAAGCCAAATATATCTGTTCAACAAGAGATGCTGGTAACCTACTCCAACGCGTTGAAATACAATACATATATATAGATACATAGATATACGAAAAGTCATTTCGAAGCATGAAGATATATCCTAAGAGACTCTAGCTTTCAAATCAGGGGACCGACTCGACAAATAGGGGTACACACAATCTGCAGTCATAACCAAGTATATACAGTTCTCGACATAGGGCACAGTTGTAGATAAACGCAACCAATAATCACAATTAAACATGTATAGTTTACTAGCAAGAATCCTATGGTCATGTTTCCATAACAGTCACAACATCAATCCTTCTTATCTCATCATATAGCACACTTTGTTGGCGCCACAGGACCAATCGCATGCCCATACATGAGGGTCAGCGCATATAGCTCTGACACGGCCCCGCAGCACCCTGCCCCGTCTCACAATACAGAGGGGTCGATCGCAACCGACCGATGAACCGCAGCTCTATATAATATTTATATACCTGACCGGTCTTTACCAGCCTGGTTAACAGTTGGGATGGTTCTCAACCCATTCAACTGCCCGTATAGTGGACCTTTGTCCTATATAATATTTATATACTTGACCGGTCTCTACCAGCCTGGTTAACAGTTGGGATGGTTCTCAACCCATTCAACTGCCCGTATAGTGGACCTCAGTCCTATATAATATTTATATACCTGACCGGTCTCTACCAGCCTGGTTAACAGCCGGTATGGTTCTCAGCCCACCCGACTGCCCGTATAGCCCGATTGATCTCAACCAAATCGGGGTAACATGCACACATAACACATAGCAAGCACATGCAACCCACATTAACACATTGGGAAGGGGGAGAAAACGTATAACAAAACCTATGCGTGATCCTTCACATACTAAGAATATTCCTAAGGAGTTCATACTTCTTTCACCTAGGTCAACGGGATACCAATTCAACTAGCATGCAATATATAAGACTCATGCAACCTACGAACGGTACCCGAAAATCCAACTAGACATAGGCACGATAGACGGAGTCCGTTGGGACACCACGGGGGTCGGGGGAACATCAAACGGGGAAGCCGGGATCCCGAAGTGGGGTACAATCCAGCGGGTAGCCGGTGGGAGAGGGGTCACCCGCCGGCTGCCCCCCGACGTTTTACTATTCCGGGCAGCTGCCCGCCCGCCGGCTGCCCGCTGCCGGCGTTGCTCGACTAGGCCGTGGGTAGGTGGCGGGTCCCCTACCCCCCACTGACTCTTTTTCACCAAAAACGCCCCGGGAACCTTCGTGGAACCCGAAACCATGCTTAGACACTTTCAAACGCAATTGATAGCACACGTAGACAATTAATGGATCAAAATCAAGAAACAAACGGCACATAACCTATCATGCTTTTCTAAACATAATCAACACCCAATCATGCGAATTCCCACCCAATATACCAAGAATAATACCATACGAATCCCACGATATAACCTAGGGTTCTAATTATTTTTAAATCAACAAGAACACAATTCATCAAGATTCGGTAGGAATATCTTATAAATACCAAGAACATCATATAATCATTAAGAACATCAAGAACACCATATAATCATCAAGAACGTCATATAATCCTCAAGAACACCATAATTATCAAGAACCTCCCATCATCAAGATCACCCATGGAATCATCCCACCAATAATAATATCACAATTCATCAATACACAATAATATGGGGAAATCCTAAGAGGGGAATCATAGCTATGAAAATAGGTTTTGTTGAGACATGGGTTACCTCTTAGCCTTAATTAATTCCTTGGCTATGAAGGGTCTTTCTTTAAGCTTTCTTGCTTTCTTGATTTCTTCTAAGGGGATTCTTGGAGCTCTTTGGGTGGTGAGAGATTATTGTGGTGGGAGTTCTAGGTTCCTCCTTATGTTCCCTATTTTTATATTTAAGAGTCTTACTTAGGGCCTAATTACCATAGGTTTGCTAAGTCTATTCCTTTTAGGACTAAGGATTGGGTTTAGAGATGAGGGCCCACGGACTATGGTGGGCCTTTATCCTAATTAATTTCTGTAATTTAATTCCTTCTTTTGGGTTATTGATTAAATGATTTAATTGATTTTAGGGATCGTAACACGGGGTGTTACAAACACCCGATCCACAAATATTTCCCTTCGGGAAAATTCATCTCCAAGGTCAAGTTCAAGTCCAAAACACCCCAAATATCACATACACCAAGGAAATGACTTGAACCCAAGAATAGATCAAAGAATAGCATTCAAGAAACCTAGATACAGCTCTAAACATGCATCATCACCAGATCATGCATCAAATCTCACATTTACACCAAGAATCATCAATAGAAGTCAAGAATCATCAATAGCAAGTAGAAAATAGGTTTTGTATAGCATGGGTTACCTTTGAAGACCAAAACCTTCTTTCCTCTAACCCTCCTAGGCCTTACTTTGAAGCTCTTCTTCCTCACAACCTTCTTACACAAGCCAAACCACAAGAAAACACCAAACTTAGATAAAGACACCTTAAAGCTAACTAAAAACACTAAATAACTTTAGATCTTACCCTTTCCTAAGCTTGGAAGATAGAAAGGTGGGATCTTGGGATGAATCTTTGCAATGTTGGATGGGGTCTTTCTTGGCTTGGGGAAGAAGCCAAGTTTTCTTAGAGAGAAGGGAGAGAAAAGTTGTCTTGCTAAAGTGGGGAAATGAATTTTAGGTTTGATATGTTAAGGCTTCAAGACCAAGTAAGGGGAAAGACCATCATACCCTTACTTTCCCTAGAAAGGCTTAAGAAGACCCCAAGGAATTAGGTACAACCATCAAAGCTAAAGGTACCCCTTTTTGACTTAAATCAATTGACCAAGGAGTTTGTCAATTTAGGTCCTCCGACTATCAATTTAGGAAATTGATTAGAAAGTCAACAAGGATAACTTACGATTAATTACTCAATTAATCCTATTTAAAGGATAGGATTTTCGGGGTGTCACATCCTCTCCCCCTAACAATAAGCTTCGTCCCCGAAGCTTGGGTACAACAAGGTCTGTCAGAAAGGATAATGGTGAACAAAATGTGACTTGAATAGAAGTAAAAGATAAACAAGGCTTTTTAGGCAACAAGCTCTCACCAAGCAAGCACAACAACTAACAGAAAAACTAGCTACCCTTCCCACAACACTACGTCTACACAGCTAAAACATAAGGGTAACTCGCAGTACCTGGGGTAAACAGATCGGGGTAACGCTCTCGCATGGCAGACTTCAACTCCCATGTCGCTTCTTCCACTCCGTGATGAGACCACCATACTTTTACCATCTTTATCGACTTCCTGTGGGTTTCTCTTGTTTTAGAGTCCAAGATTCGGATCGGCCTTTCTTCATAAGACATGGTCCCGTCAAGGGGCACCACTTTTGGCGGAATCACATGTGAAGGGTCGTGCACATACTTCTTTAACTGTGACACATGAAACACGTTATGCACCCGCTCTAACTCCATCAGTAGCGCTAAATGGTAAGCCAGATTTCCTATCCTCTCAAGGATCTCATAAGGACCAATAAACCTGGGGCTCAACTTGCCCTTCTTCCCGAACCTCATCACTCCCTGGGTGGGAGAAGCTTTCAGCCAAACCTTTTCCCCAACTAAGAATTCCGCTGGTTTTCTTCCTAAGTCCGCATAGGACTTTTGTCTATCTTGTGCCATCTTCATTCTACCTTGGATATACTTGATCTTTTCCACGGTATCGTGCAAATATTGAGGTCCCAACATTACCGGATTAACCAAGTTCTCCCAACATAACGAACTGCGGCACTTTTGCCCGTATAACGCTTCATACGATGCCATTCAGATGCTTGAGTGGTAACTGTTATTATAAGAGAACTCAATCAGGTCTAAGTGTTCTTACCACGATCCTTGAAAGTCCAACATGCAAGCCCTTAACATGTCTTCAAGCATTTGAATGGTCCTTTCGGTTTGTCCATCCGTGGCAGGGTGGAAAGCGGTGCTTAAATTCAACTTCGTTCTCAAAGCTGCAAAGCTGCTTGTAAAGATCTCCAGAATTGAGACAAGAACCTTGAGTCTCTGTCTGAAACGATATCCCGGGGAACTCCATGGTATTTCACCACTTGACTCACGTATGTCTTGGCTAACTGATTCATTGACCACGTTACTTTCATAACGATGAACAGAGCCGTCTTAGTTAAACAATCCACTATCACCCAAATCTTATCTTTGCCTGAACGGGTCACCGGTAAGCTCCCCACAAAATCCATACAAATGGAGTCCCATTTCCCTTGAGGTATCTCCAAGGGTTGCATCAACCCTTTGGACTTGCATCGCTCCGCCTTGACTTTCTGACAATTCAAGCACCTACTCACGAAATCGGCTATTTCTTTCTTCATGCAAGGTTGGATGAGGTCTTTCTTGGCTTGGGGAAGAAGCCAAGTTTTCTTAGAGAGAAGAGAGAGAAAAGTTGTCTTGCTAAAGTGGGGAAATGAATTTTAGTTTTGATAGGGTAAGGCTTCAAGACCAAGTAAGGGGAAAAGAGCATCATACCATTACTTTCCCTAGAAAGGCTTAGGAAGACCCCAAGGAATTAGGTACAACTATCAAAGCTAAAGGTACCCCTTTTTGACTTAAATCAATTGACCAAGGAGTTTGTCAATTTAGGTCCTCCGACTATCAATTTAGGAAATTGATTAGAAAGTCAACAATGATAACTTATGATTAATTACTCAATTAATCCAATATAAAGGATATGATTTTCGGGGTGTCACACAAGCCCACCGGGTAGTATCTAAGCCCCCAAAGTTAACCCAGGATTTTTCGACCAGGCCACTTCTTATAAACCCAGGATTTTTTGACCGGATTTCTCATCATCATACCTTTTCATTATTTATTTTCATCATATCATTTCATCATTTTCTACTGAAGGGATCGTGGTCCAATCGGGTCCTAAAAAATTATAGGTTTTCCTCACTTTTAAAAGATAACGGTGACATAGCATTTGAAAAACATTTCTTTTCTACAAATGGGATTCATAAATATCATTCATGCTTTTAAAAAGGGAATATGTAAATAGATATAGATATAAATTTTCCAAAAAAGTATAGTAGGTATGGATATATGTATAATTGAAAACCTTTATTTTCAAAATAGGTTTCATAATATATATATATATATATATATATATATAGAGTTGCACTCGGGTGCGAACGGTTCGCCCAGGCGCGAAATAGGAATGGATTCTGTTCATCCACGTGTCCAGATCTAATGGATGAGAAACACTGATTTTTTAAAAAAACGCGGTGGCATTTTCGTAAATAATTGAACATCGAAGTGCAAGTAAAATGTATTACAAGTGCATGTAAAATGTATTATAGGTGCAAGTAAAAATTTACACTGAGCATCAATACTTAGTTGCACTTATAGTTCTAAGTAGTTGCACCTATAGTTCTAAGTAGTTGCACATATAGGTATAAGTAGTTGCATCTAGGTGTATGAATGTTTGCGAGTGGTTTTCAGGAGTATTACTACCCGCTGAACTCAGATCAATGAATGTTAACAAAACAAAATTACATGCACTTATAGGTGAAATTAGGTGCACATATAGTTATAAGTAGTTGCACCTATAGTTATAAATAGTTGCACAGATAGTTATAAGCACACCCAGGTGCATGAATGGTTGCGGAAAGTGAATGCTAACAAGGCAAAATTACATGCACTTATAGGTGAAAATAGGTGCACTTATAAGAGATTTTACTTGCACTTCGATGTTCAATTATTTACGAAAATGCCACCGCGTTTTTTTTTAAGTTATTAGATCTGGACACGTGTCACGCGCTGATTCGTTCACATTTCCTTCCTGGGCACTTATTCGCACCTGAGTGCGTCCCTATATATATATATATATATATATATATATATATATATATATATATATATATATATATATATATATATATATATATATATATATATATATATATATATATATATATATATATATATATATATATATATATATATATATATATATATATATATATATATATATAGAGGAGTGATCACATATGGCATATACATTAGGTGTGGCAGTGTGGTCAAATAAGAGCTGTCTGATCATTTCAATCCAACGGACAAGATTATAATTTTATGGCGCGCCTATTTATCTATAGCGTAGCAGAGAGGGGTAGATCTGTCATTTCATTCTATTCAAACACTGTGTGAAGGTTCCTTCTACAAGTCATATCGATTCATAATCCCAAAACACAAGAGAACCGCTCCACTTCTCTCACTCTCTCGGCGACGACGTACTCTCCTTACTCCACGAAAGACGGCGAATAATGGTGAAAAAAGGCAAGGAACCGGCGCGCATGGGTATGAACTCACTGCATTCTGTAATATATACTCGAAATAGACCTTTTTATGTGTTTTAATTGATGATCGGTGTATACTAAATAGGTAATTAGAGTATTTTCAGTGCCCTACATGCTTCCACTCGTCCATATCGTTTTTGTTATGTGCATTGTCAATGGCATCGTGTAATATATTTCAATAAATACTGGTGTAATGGTGTATTTTTTCATTGTGCTTGTGTGTTGACTGTAGTGTACATTTCAATACCTACTGGTGTATTCTGACATACCTCAGTTGAGTATTGTAACCAACATTGTTGTGTGTTTTTCTTTGATATTGGTGTATTTTTTGATTGTGCTTGTGTGTTGACTGTAGTGTACATTTCAATACCTACTGGTGTATTCTGACATACCTCAGTTGAGTATTGTAACCAACATTGTTGTGTGTTTTTCTTTGATATTGGTGTATTTTTTGATTGTGCTTGTGTTGACTGTAGTGTACATTTCAATACCTACTGGTGTATTCTGACCTACCTAAGTTGAGTATGGTAACTAACATTGTTGTGTGTTTTATTTTGATATTGGTGTATATTTCACTAAGTAATAGTGTATATTTCACTAAGTAATAGTGTATTCTGGACTACATCACTTGAATATAATAAAAAACATTGTTGTGTGTTTTAGTTTTATATTGGTGTATTATTTCTTGTGTTTGTGTTGTTGATTGTAGTGTATATTTCAATAAGTAATAGTGTATTCTGGACTGCATCACTTGAATAGAGTGAAAAACATTGTTGTGTGTTTTAGTTTGATATTGGTGTACTTTTCAACATTGAGCTTATATCATGCAGACACCAAGAGGAAAACATTAGAACTAGAAGATCCCCCGGCAGCAAAACAAATAAGGAGGCAACAAGCCCTTGACTTCATTGATAGAATCGAGGTTGAGCTGCAAAATGAAGATTCCGAGCAACAAAATCAAGATGAGTCCAGCTCAAATGATGAGGAAGATGTACTGGATGTTGAAGACAAAGAAGCTGGCCTGAAGATACGACCCCTTCCCACCCAATTAATGAACCCAATTGCAGACCTAACTGATCCCCAACGCAGAAGTGTAGAAGATATTGGACTAGGGAGACTTCTTGACCTGAATATTACCAATGTCCCAAGGAAGTTGGGGCTCTGGCTTGTTCAAAACTATGACGCTAGGAGCAACACGTTAAACCTGCCAACTGGTGAATGACTACCCATCACAGAACATGATGTTGCTGCCACAATGGGGCTGCCGATGGGAGGCATTGAAATTGTTAAAAGGGCATCCAAGGAAGTGTCTACACTATTGGCTGGCTGGAGAGCAATGTTTGGAAAGACTAACGGCCACATCACCCCCCATATTATGTCTGAGCATATGTTGACACTAAATGCTACTGATCCTTGGTTCAAAAGGCAGTTTGCACTGCTTGTAATGAGTGTATTGGTTGAGCCCCAAGTCAATGGTTATGTCAACCAAAGCTACATTGATAACTTCCAAAATGTTGACAACATCAAGAATCTAAATTGGTGTAGAATGCTCATCAATTCGCTCATCACCAGCAAGCAGTCATGGCTGGACAGTGTTGATGGGAGATACGGAGGACCAATTATTTTCCTGATGGTAAATATACTACCAGCAAGATGCATCTAATTTATTACCCACCGATCAATTAATACTCTAAAATGCAAAATGCAGATATTCTATGTTGACCGTGTGGTGCTCTACCGGAGGACAGTCCCAAGAAGCTTCCCTGCCATGAAGAGCTGGACATTTAAGCTGCTCCGTCAACGAGAACAAGCAGAGATAAAATCTGGTGGCTTTGGATATGGCCGTCTTGAAGATGCCTTGCCATTGGACAGCACACCGTTCAAAGAAGGAAGTCCCCCCCCCCCCCCCCCCATTGATACAATCTGATGTTCGACCCCAACCACTGGCTATTGAAAGTAATGCACCACTTCCCACTGCGTTACAGGTAAAACAGACCACTTGAGTCACATTCATGGTGTACTCCCTTATATCTCTTTTACTGTTTTTAAACCTATTGACTGTTGTGCATCTTACAATGCGGTACCTTAATCAGTTTGTGTGAATAAGATAATGTACTATAATGGTGTGCTTCTTAATAGTATTTAGTGCATATTTTGATATACATTGGTGTGTTTTATTATATCCTTGATGTGCATATGCAGGAGTTTGTTGATGAGATTACTAGCAACACAAGGACAATTGCAACAAGTTTGCTGAGAATATCCAGACTGATTGAAAATGCACCTGCTGCTATTTTGGAACATCATACATTCAAGCAAGTTTTTGAGTCTGCTAGACAAATGCTAGGATTCAAAGCACAGGAAGATGGACAAATGACATTTACCCAAAGCGAAGACGCCTACTGGAGTGACCCTGAGTTTCTGAAAGCAGTTGATGAGATTGTACGTGCGGTGAACAAAAGGAAC